CAAACCTTTATAACATCCTGCCTCATCAGCGCTCTATATCTTTTTTTCCTGCCTCAGTAGCTCTCCCGCTCTATTTTTTCACCTGATGACGATTGCTTGTGTTGCGATGGAAACGTAATATTTTATTATTTTTTATTTTTACTTTTCTATCTACGTGGCTTTACCGAAAGACCCAGAGAATATGAATTCCTGCAGTCACGAAAGCTTTAAGTCAAGATTTAACTACAATGCATGGCTCACCATCTCTGTGTTCTCATTGTTCACCCATCGCTGATAATATTTATCACACAGCACCAGGTACTCTGTTTAGGCTGAATCAAGTAAACTTGAGCGAGTCGCATGCATGTGTAGTACAGTTCACGACTCTTGGACGCCGGAGTTGGAGGCACACGGGTTTATTTCACACAGCACGGTTGTGGCATACAACACTAGAGGGGGTATCGGCCCCCTCACCCGGCTAGCTGGGGATACACGCGCTAGCTACTCCTAGCCTGCCTCCTAGTCCTCCACTAACGGGCTAGGGGAGGCTATCTGGCCCGACACTGGTAAGTCGGGCCCGGTACCCTGAGTCCCAGACCAGCTCTGACAAGAGCACCGGCTCTGGCTCTCGGGACCACGCCGCTGGCTCGGTCCTGTTCGGCCCTGATAAGGACGGCGAACCAGGGGAGTCCAGGGCTCTAGCTAAGACGTCTTCAGTCTTCACTGGTTAGCTTAACATTCCCCCCGAGCCCTCCGACACATCCCCTTTTATACCCAACCCCCCGCTGAGGGGTGGGGCCCCGGGGGATCATAACTCCGAATCAGCCCCCCCAGGGTGCCTGGCGCGGACGTCGTAGAGAGCACCTCCCCGTGCACTCACGTAGCCCCGCCCACTGTGTTTGTTTGCCATAAGCTGCCATGCATAACGGGCTCTCTCTCTAACACCCCTACACATGTACAGTACAGGGTACGGGTGGGAATCAAACCCAGGCTCCTTGGGTTCATGACGGAATGTAGTAAATTTCGACCACTACTCGTATAAATGATCGGCGTTGGCTGAATAAGTGAGCACTTGGCTCCACGATTCCGGTGATTTGCGATCACTTCCTCCCCGTGGTGTGCAACGTCAGTGGCGATTTTTTATTTGTTCTTGGCCCAGATTCTCTCGGTCAGCTCGGCGTACGGTCGTAGACTATTTTAAAGTATTTGTATTTTACCAGCTAAGGCCCACTGAGCTCTATACTGTAGCTCTTTTCCAGAAGCGACCTGGCTATCACAAATGGTAGCCCAAAGAAGTGGCTTATCATCACGAGTACATTTATAGCAGCCAAATACTCTTAACGATAAGTTGATTCTAAATGTGGAGGGGAAAACTGGAGGACCCGGAGAAAAATCCATCTAGGCACGGGGAGAATATACAAACTCTAAATACACAGGCGTCGGTGTCGGGATTGAACCCACTACCTCCTGTATATTAGGCGAGGTAGTTAACATCTCGCCACCGTGGTTGCTGGTGTGGTCTTTAACGCCAGCGTTGGGGAGACGAAGGTGGCAAGGCATGCGTGGTGCCGACTGCACCACCCCCTCGTGTACACTTTTAGCCTAGTGTTCAATGCAGGCTTTCCGCGGGCTAAATTGTGATCTTTGTCTCAGTGTGGGGGTGTGAGTGTGTGTGTATTTGGTCGTGTACAGTTCCTGAAAAGCACTCATGAATTCGCTTCAAGCTTTTAATCTGCTTACAGTGGATATTGTGTAGTGTTTTTGGAAAATGAGAATTTGGGATTGCCAAGTGCTGTGTTTGCCAGCTGTCCATGGCAAGCACACAGAATTTCTTGGAAGCCGTCATTAACCTGTTTCATATGTCTCGCACCGTATAAATCACTTTCACGATATTGGCAAGTGGAGTTTTTGTGCAAGGGTCAATGTTGCACACATGGCCTGAAAATGAATTTGCTGCTTCGCTTTCAAATACAAGCGGTCTCCAGTTTACGTGGGACAGTCTGATATACACGATCCACATTTACGTTGTTTATATAACGCCACCACGAATCGATTTGCGACGCGGAAACTTGTTTGACAGCGCATCTTCCAACACAACACATTTGAACAGAGTCAATCTGGTTTCTGCTGTGACTTGGTGTGGCAAGGGATGTTTCTACTGATTCTACTGTCTATGGTAAAATAGGGTCCGATTTCCGACTATCCAATTTATGACGGGGATTTACAGGAATGTGTTGTGTCACAAAAGTGGGGGGGACCGCCTGTACTGTGTCTATTGGGGTGGCGGCTGGGTGGCTCAGTGGGTCAGAGGACTGAGCTGGCACGGCTGAAATCTTGGGTTCAAATCTGGGTTTCGGCCTCCTGCAATTTAACTAGGTTCTCAAGTGGAGTGGGGTGATGCTCTCAGCCCAGTCACCAATGAATGCTTGCCTCGTGAGGGAAAAAAGCATGAACTTTTTGGTTTTAACGAAATTTAGCTGATCTCCTAGATCGCCCTGCGATGAACATTTCTGTGTTGAAGGGCATGTGTGGGAAAGTGATCTCCTCCATAGCGTGTAGATAAGAAAAGGTCGCTTGAAGGAATTTCAGAATGGTTCGGTGATATCACCTTCCGTTGGCCAAAATCTACCATGCGCGGGGGACACAGTGCCCTGCAAGAGTTCTGAATGGATTGGTCTCGTAAGATGATGCCAAGAGCTCAATTGCGATACAATTGGTTAAATAGCAGCGTCGATCAAGTTGGTAGCTCGGAGTATATAACATTTGTTTTTTATTGTCAATAAGCCATTTCCCGTGTATTTGTATGTCTATGTTTAAGTAGCACTGTCAATGCTCTAGCTTTGCAAGCAAACATTTCCAGTTGGCCTGATTGTGATTCCCAAACTGTTCATAATAAACACACAACAACAACACTTTTGATGTCTCTACTCCATGTGGTGTGGTTTTACCTTGTAGGGTTTTGTTCTTATGACCCTGAAGAGCTTTTTTTTTTCTCCACAGTTACTGAGTACAAGCCCAAAGGGCCCAAAACATCAAGCAGCCAATGACAATAATGAGCGATCTATTTAAATGATGATGATGATGATTATTATGAGTATCCTGGCTCTCTTGTAAATTGTGAATTGCTCATTAATTGTCTTTGTATTATTGCAGTGTAATACAGCTGTGCTTTTATGTACTTTACGAAAACATTGAGGTCGCCTTAGCCCAATCGCTAAACACTACAATCCCAAGGAACCATCATCGAATTTATAAATAAATGTTGTTCTTAAAGGTAGATTCAAGATAACGATTGATGAGCTCCCATCGTCCCGATAACTACTTAACCCTTTGCCATTTCGATGATGTACATATACGTCGTAGGTTTTTCTTCCGATTCAGAACCGGAAGAAAAAATAAAATAACTTTATCGGTGCCGAGGCTCCCACAAGGCCGCGTGGCAGGGCATGTGGCACAGTTTGGCGCCAGCTAACATGGAGTACGGTCTTGTCGCTACAGTTCTCTACCGTGAGTACAGTGTCTTTAAAAACAATGGCATTCCGCCTCTAAATAAAATTAACGCTCAGCCTCTTGCACATTCCGAGAATCAGCAGCGAATGGGGCCTATCCTGCAACTTGCAGACGTCTCGGAACGGAAAAGAGTTAAGGTGCGTATCCCAGGCTGTCCAACTACTTAACTTTGAATCATTGTTGGTGAGAAAGAACAAGACTGTAAGGGTTACTGTAAGAACCTCTGTACTTCTCTGCAATATTGATGGTTTTAGTCTTTGTTTTCTTGTTGTTGCTGATGTGTCCACGAAGCACCACGGATCTCCCTTGTTAAATGGCCGGGAAACTGCCTAAACGAGACCATGCGTGTAACAAACAGGATCAACTCAAACCGTCAAATGCACTATTATGGCACTCTCAATGTTGCTGCGACGTCATCCTCGTATGTTTTAATACAGCGTCAATGCATTTACGTCGTTTCTAAAGTTTGGTTTCTTTTTAACTAAACTTAAAAATGCGCCTGACAGCCTGGAGCACAGAGCCTATGGACAGATCTAGACTTACCGACGATTTTTTTTGCATTGCGTATTCCTTCTCTAACTTGGTGTTACTTGGCCCAGCACTGAAGCACAAACTAAATAATTGGTCACTCATCTCGAAGCAGGGCACTCCATGTTTGAGATGTTGGGACACGTTTCGGTGTTCCAGTATACTTGTAATTTTTATTAAATAAATAATGAACATTTCTAAACTTTACTTTTTATTTTACCCGGTAAGTCACCACTGAGCCCATATCGCTCTTTTTCAGAAGCGGCATGGCCACAAATGATAGCCCAACACGGTGGTTTATCACGTGGAAATAAAAAAAAACTGTAGAGGGAAAATCCGGAGGACCCAGAGAAAAATGCATGCAAACACGGGGAGAACTCCAGACATACAACATGCATCAGGGTTGTGATCGAACCGACGACCTCCTGTATACCAGGTGAGGCAGTTAACATCTCGCCACTGCGGCATCCCTATGCTTTCTACTTCTGCAGTGCAGCTGTGTGAGGTTGCGAGTGCTGGGTGATAATATGTCGGGGGAGGTTTTGGGATGGCGGGCGGGTGGTTTGTGGTCGGTGGCGGTGGGTAGTAGTGGTGATGGGATGGTAGCGGTGATTGGGTGGTTGGCGATGGTAGGCAGTGGTCATTTGGTGGGTTTTGGCTGGTGGTAGTGGGTGATGGTACTGGTAGGGGTGAGGTATTTAGATGATGGCGGTGGGTTGTAGTTGGTGGTGGCTCTCTTACCCTACTGTTTGTGCACAAGTCCACTGTTTGTCTCTATTGCTCGTCTCTTATCTACCATTGCTGTATTTGTCGTATTTCCTTTTTTTCCCCCTCTCCTTCCCCCCCCCCCCGTATTTTCCTCAATGTGATTCGTATTTTCGCGCATTCGTAAAGCGTCTCGGGGCCGCTACTGCCGCCGCATTCGGGCACCAACTAAGCTTAAGCTAAAAAAAATCCTCATCTCTTTGACGGACGGATTGCAGGCGGAACGGCGAGGTGACGCACATCAAGATCCAGAACACGGGCGACTACTACGACCTGTACGGCGGTGAGAAGTTCGCAACACTCGCCGAGCTCGTGCAGTACTACACGGATTACCAGGGCCAGCTGCGCGAGAAGAACGGAGACATCATCGAGCTGCGATTCCCGCTCAACTGCGCCGACCCCACGTCCGAGCGGTACGGCGGAGGCCCACACAATGCCGACGAAAGTCGGGGCAGGCGGAGGGGGGACGTTATTTTTAAATTCTGATCTTGCTGCCGACTTTGCAGTCATGAGGCTAAGCGTCTGTTCGCATCTCTTGCCAAACCAGAGTATCGCCACATCTGTTAAGAGGATGGCGCCGTGGAAGGGGGGTGTACAAAGTGTTTGTGAGATTCCCCTTAAAGCAGTGGTCGGGAACCTATGGCTCGCGAGCCATATATGGCTCTTCCGGTGACGGCATATGGCTCCCAGACAATTTTGAGTGGAAAAAAATTAAATAAAAAATCAGTTTGGAACTGATTTTAAAATACTTGTGATATTGCTTAATAATACTGTGTCATTTTAAAGTAAACAGAAATTAGTTTTGAAGATAAATTTCACGCGTCACGGGGCCTCAACGCCTGCATGAAGCTCAACCTCACCACGTACGAACCAGACTACAAGGCCATCAGCAAAACCATGCAGCACCAGAAGTCGCATTAAAAGTAAGACATATTTAATTTATTATACGTTAAAAATACTATAAGGCTCTCAATGCAATATATTTAGAAATATTTGGCTTTTATGGCTCTCCCAGTCAAAACGGTTCCCGACCCCTGCCTTAAAGTGACCCTTTTTTATATCCACAAACTAGGAGTTGACACGTTTTCTCATGCCCCTGCTTGCGTAGATATGCTTTAGTCAAATTAAGTGAAAACCAACCTTAAATGTAAAGGTAATTTTACGCAGTCATTGTTGACCAGGCTGAGGCCACGAACTCGCTATACCTGAGAACCCAATTTAATTATGGTTGGCTATTCAGATTTAAACCTGTATCTCAACAGTGGTGGTTTTGGGTCGCCCAATAAAGAGTTGTAATTTAAAGTAGTTGGTGGCTCAAAACAACGTATTAGCCAGTTCTTGTTTCTATTGATGATCTTGATGGAAATTTCATTCATCTGCGAGAAACGGCAGTCATGAAGTGTCTAACCAATTTTCAACACTCCAGGACACGTAATCCAAGTTATTTAATGTCATCATCATCATCATCATTCACCGTGATCGATCCTCTCCTGAATGAAAGCCTCCCCATGCTGCCACTCTCTCTCTCATGCTCCTAAAATGTAACGATCTTTCTAGCACCTACACGCGAGTCGATCTCATCGCTCCATCTGTGCGAAGGACATTCTCTCTCTCTGGATTTTTTCTGCCTTTGGCCTGCCACTCTGTTTTTAGTCTCAACCACTGGACGTCATCCCTTCTAGCGACGTGCCCTACACAAGCCCACTTGCTTTTTGCGAACATTCAATGTGACGTTTTTAATCTGCGTGTGTTGCCGGGGGATTTATCTGCACAATAAGAGCTATTTGTTTTCCTGCGTTGCGTCGACACGGGCACGATTGTAGTTTTTTTTTCCCACAGAGACGCTACCGGTTGTTGATTTCTTGTGTTGGTAATGCACTTTTTGTTATAAAGCCAAAAACTGTACGAGGTGTGGTGCCAAACACCAGCTGTTATTGTTTAGTTGTATTTTCAAAGAATAGGAGATGGAGCGGTGTCGCAGTGGTTAGCGCATTATGCTTTGGACCCAGTGACCTCCATTTGATTCTGGGCCACGGCTAATACCAGCCGCGAGTGATTATCCTAACCAGTCCTGTAAACCCTTTTAACGAACCTGCACTGTCCAGGGTAGTGAAGTATGGTAAAAAAACGATGACCAAAAGGAGTGGGGAGGCCCTAATTTAGAAGTGGATGGATAAAATGCAAAATGTTAGTTACATCTTTTTTATTCTATAAAAGGATTCCCAGGTGCAGTATGACAGTTGAGAACAACACACGGTCATGCAGCCAAACTCGCAAGAGGAGAGCTCGTGCGTGCGCTGGGCAGGCAAGAACAGGTCCATTGGTTTGTGTCTCGTTATGTTAAAACAACTAAGGAGAAATACGCCTGTCCCATGTGTTTTGATCTGTGTGTTGCCATGAGCTGCGTTAGCCAAGCTACGACAAACCAATAGTATTCGCAGTGCGGCCTGTCAATAAACGATCAAAGTAATGAGTGGGGAGCCGGGGTGGTGATGGGTGAAACATCCCGAGCCAGTCCGCACAGCTGCCTTGTTATTACATCGGAGTAATTAATAAACATGACTACTTAAATGCTTTTCGGACAACAGCTGCAGTAGGGTTGCAGTTGTCTTTAACGTCCACTTCATAGCATGGGACCGCACGCGTCGGGCTGCGGAAATTCCCTGTAGACCTCTTCTGTTTGACGTTGTGATTGACCGACTGACATGACAATCGGTCCTCGGCCCCTCTCCCTGGGGTCGTGACCCCTGCATCACAGCACAGGGGGGGGGGGGGGGGGGGAGCAAGCAGGAATTCCAATGGTTAATTCCCAGTGGCAGGAGTTTCTGCTGTTTGGAATCCGTATCAAGGGTTGGACAGCTGCTGGGTATTGGGTGTGGGGTTTTTGTTGTTTTCTTCAGCACTCTTCGACGTGCGAGGGCGATGGGTTCATTGCGTGCATGCATGCGAGTGCCTAGCAAGGCACGGGCTTGTGTACCCCCCCCCCCCCACGGTGCACTTTATAACGCAGGCGGGCGATGATATACGGTGGAATAAAGAGCAGAATTAGACTGTCCGTCTTTTGCTGATGGCTGCGCCGGGTCATTAATCCACCGAAATAAGCCGTAAAAACCTGAAGGGAAATTACACGATGAACTGCAGTAGTCCTGTCCTGCACGCCTGCGTTTTTTGTGATGCTGTAGCTGCATGGATTTTTATATATATTTTTTTAATATGCAAGAGCCGCACCTGATGCCGTGTCGCAAGACCATGTATAAGCTTGGCTGGAGTCGAAATTGAATCATCGATTGTTCGCTTGTGAAAGCGAATGCGTTATTTTTCGTCAGAATTTTATAATGTTATAAACTAGGCGTGCAATGGTTTCCGTAGTCGAATTCGGCTTGAAAAATGCGCGGGAAATTATTGAGGAACGAACAAAAATAAGCTTGGAGAGTTTGTTCCCAAAGATAAATATGAACTGACGAAAAGTCTGACGACAAGCTTTTGGAACAAATAAAAAATGTCGATAGATTAATTGTTTGCTTATGGGTTAGGTCGTGTAAAAAGCATGTGTCGTAAAACCCTCCTCCACCTGACACAGCCCAGGAATTAAATTGTCACGTGAACCGAACGTGGCCAGATATATTGCTTGCTTCAGCAGCGCCACTGGTGATGTCGTTGGAGAGGAATCTCAGAACATTCATAAACAGTTACCGACGTTTCACTGGAGACTACACCCAGCATCATCAGGTTGTTAACGGGAGCTCGGATCTCAAATGGAAGCGCTTCCTGTTGGTAAATGCAACAGATGATGATGTGTGCGTGTGCGTACCTCGGGAGATTTTTGAAGGCACACGAGCATCCAAATAATAAAACGGACGCAAGCGAGAGGATGGCGGGGAGTGATTTTTGAAAACGGTATAACGTAACAATTAAACATATTTAAATTAAATTTCGCATGCCTGACTTCGTAACGTTAAACATTGCCGCACAGCGTGACGCTTCAAAACATTCAATACCGCTCGTGTTCGATAATGAAATGGGAATGTTATCGGTCAATATGTGCAAGGTTAACCTACCAAGTCAACCCACGGCATGTCAAATTTCAATTTAAAGCTTTCGTGACTGCAGGGATTCATCTTCTTGGTTCCTTCGGTATTCTATCATAAGAAATCGAAAACATATTTTCAAACTTTTTACACGCTTTTATTTAACTTACTGTATGTGTTGTCGTATCCAAAAATCTTGTAACTCAATTTCAACCGTATTCCTAATGTCGTATCGACTGCAAACTTGGTATAGGTATGTCATACTGATGACAATACTATATTCTATAATTGAAAATTAAAAATAAATATTTTTAAACAATATTTTTTACGGCTCTAATTGTCCACGCCGTAAATCACCATGGTCCCTGACGTCACGGCAAGCCTTGGGGGGAGCCACGCCGAGGGGCGGGGGATGTGGAAGGAGGGGAGGGGCGATGGGGGACGGGGGCAGGGGTAGGGGCAGCTCGGACAGTACATTTCATTAAAGCGTGTTTTAAAAAAAAGTATTTTTAAATATTTTATTCCCCCTTGGAATTTGACGAGGCTTTCATTGTGTATATATATACACACATATAAAATTAGCCTGTTGCCCAGACTATAAGGTGCAATTTATTCCCTGAATTTTAGAGCAAAGCTGTATAGTAATCCAATAGGTATGTCTGAATCAGAATCTTTATTTATCCTGGAGAAATCCGATGAGCTCTGAAGCTTTTTTCACAGATGTCCAGTTAGGGGGGGGGGGATGGTCAGAAAGTTAAAACAATTGTTTGTTGATTACGGCATTTTCGTATAACTTTACAATTATAATAATTTAAACTTTTAACGCGCACACAGTATTCACTCGCTCTCAAAGAGCGAGAACGACTCGCAGGCTTGAGGAACCACACACAGCCTGGAAGGCAGCTATGTGGTAGCCGGTGACACCAAGTAATTTACACTGGCTGAAACTATTAATTTTTGTACATTTGTAGAGGTGTAATCGCGCATGGCTACGGATGTTGAGGTGTAATTATGCATGGCCACGGATGGCCAACAAACACAAGGGGCGGGGTTACGGCCGTACACAAGGGTGGCGCTCGCACCGACGTCCGCATGTGCATCCCCCACGGGCCCCCCCTCGGGGGCGAGTCCTATAAAAGGTGATGAGCTCGAGGGCTCGGGGTCGGGGGCTCAGCTTTAACCAGAGAAGAAGGAAGACCTGCTAGAATAGGCCCCAGAGCTCCCCTGGCTCGCTGTCCTTATAAGGGCCGACCAGGGCAAGCCGGTGGCGTGGCACCGAGAGCCCAGACTAAGCTGGTCTGGAGACTCAGGGTGCCGGGATCCCAGCTTAACCAGGCTGGGATAGATAGCCTCCCCTAGCCCCGTAATGGAGGGATTGGCATAGG